TCTCGTCCCCGTTGATGCTTAGAAAGATAAGAGGAAAGCGCTTCGTATCCAATCGCTGTTTGACATTTGGAGCTATAAAAGTTACAGGACACGCCGACACAGGAGTACTTGTAGTGGTATAACAACCACCTCGCGTGAAGGGTGCGTGCATGAGGGCTCGAGTGGACCAATGACTCACCCCTTTTGTTATTTGCCTCTGTCAGCATTCGCCCGTTACGCACGCGTACTCATGCGCAACCAAAGCCACTTGGCTGGTCTGACGCTGATAAACGGTCGTGTTCTCTGTCGCCTCTTTTCCCACTTTCCTCGGGTAGTTAGGGGCTGTTAACTAGAGGGTTGTAAGGTAGTGCTAAATTCAACCAACTACATACTTAGCCAAATTTGTACATCAAGCTACGAGGGTTACTTCGTGATGCCATTCGAAGCCTTTATGAGCCTGCTTTGCAAAACAGCCGTGTAGTTGACCAGTGAGCAATCTTGGATGAAGTGCGACTCATTGTACTCACACCAACTTAATTTGCTGTCTTCAGCACCTGAGCTTTAGATTTTGTGCATATTATGACATATGAGGTAATCTCGTTGGCCCATTTACGCTATTGTGCCTTCTTAAATATTCCACACCGCCAAGAACGCCTTTTGATTTGTGTGAAAAGCCATGTCTTGACGAACCGCGAGTCACTGTCTGCAGCCTCCGTGTAGATTCGGAAGAGTGAACTTGTGGTTAACACGTCTGACTGCAAACAATTCGTCTTTTTTTTGCATTGTGGGGAAACAGGAAGCAGTGTCTTCTGCTTGGTCCACGCTGTACATTGCCATTGCCGGTTTGACATTGTCATCCTGTCAATGCACCTACTCTCTTTGTGTACACATGCTAAACCGCCTTCTGATGTGTTATCACGAGAAAAAAACAGCAGTCAAACCATAAATGTGGACCATTGAGCTAGGCTTGAATGAGTTGGTTTACTTCCATGTTAATCCCTAAGATCCGCCCAAGGTCAAGCATTTTATGATTGCTGGCAAATTGTCCTAATTTCGACCATCGATGCCGAGGATTTCGTGTAGCGATTCGGCGCTACTGCCACACTTGACTAATCACATTTCATGTCATACGCTGCTAAAAACATGCAACTGTGCGGTAAGATTGTTCAAAGTGGTGGTGAGACAGGGGCCATGTTTAACACATCAGCTATGCTAAATGAGGTTTTAGACATTTTTATATGCAAAATACCCATCTTTAACGCAGGCACGCGCCATTTACTGTGCATATAAAGCGCGATTTGGCTGGAGTCAGTAGGTTTTTCATTAAACCTGGTGATATCATTATGCCAAGCTCAAAAGCTATATGCAATTTTGAACCTATAGACAGTCTACGAAAAAGGAGAAATGAATAGCACTAGAAAGTTCCTTTAATCCGTAAATCCGGTCATATTTCCTTTTTATTAATAATTTGAATCAAACCTCGTAACTCTCAACGCTGGTGCACTTCCTTCATGAATCTGTAATCACAGCGTTACTCAGTTTTTTTTCACAATTTCAGTATGACGCAATCGCAGCTTGTGATGCGAATGTGCCAGATAAAGTCAAGGCACGTCGGTGTATTGACAAGATGACAGTGGTAAGCTGAAGCCACCAAAGACAGTAACAGCGGTGTTTGACAACCTGTTCAATCGTAACTGAGGCAGTCGCTGTAGTTAAGGTAAACAGTTCCCAATAAAGAGTCATAATTTGGTGCGTCGATGGTGACAAGTCTGAATTGATTGGTCATAACGCGATTCACTAAGTCGAGTTCTGTAACATGGATGAATAAGGCAATATGGCGTGATTACGGGGCGTACCAGAGCCATCCAGAAATTGCAATTAGGAAGTTTGCATTTTGGCAAAACGTGGACAAAGCAGAAGACACTGCTTCCTGTTTCCCCACAATGCGAAGAAGATGGAATGTTTGCACTCAGATGTGTTAACCACAAGTTCACTCTTCCGAATCTACACGGAGGCTGCAGATAGCGACTCGCGGTGCGTCAGGACATGGTATTTCGCACAAATCAAAAGGAGTCCTTGGAAGTGTTTAATTTTTAAGATGAATGCACAATAACATAAATGGACCAACGAGATTACCTCAAATGTCATAATATTCACAAAATCTAAAGCGCGGGTGCTAAAAGCACTAAAGTAATTAGGTGTGAGTACTTTGAGTCGCATTTCATTCCAATTTAGCCCGAACATGCTAAAGATTGTTCACTGGTCGACTACACGGCAGCTTTGCAAAGCAGCCACAAAAAAGCTTCGAATGGCATCACGAAGTAACCCTCGTAGCTTGATGTACAAATTTGGCTAAGTACTGCTGTGTTAGCGTGTCTCGTAAAACACCTATCGTCTTGTAATTTTATAGCTCCAAATGTCAAACAGCGATTGGATACGAAGCGCTTTCCTCTTATCTTTCTAAGCATCAACGGGGACGAGAAATGAGATGTCAAGACGACTGCCGCTGTCGTCTTAAACATTGCATTAAGAACAAACTGATAAGGTCAGTTTGTTGTGTGAAAGTGCCTGGTGTGTGCTGGTTAGCTGGGATGCCGACGGCGAAGTGGGACTACATATTCACGTCGTTTAAGTGTGAGTGGAAGTGAAGATGAAGAAGGTAGTCGATGTAGGCCTCGGTGAAGTGGTACTAAGAAGGTATTGTCAAAAAGAAACCAATTTCGCCTTGCGTAATAGCTTCATGTTCACTCTCACGCGCAAATTCAAAAACGAATACGCACGCACGTAATTGACGAGACTGAATGGGCGACGCACTTTTGAAAAACAGACTACGACTGAACAAACAGAGGGGTGGATTCGTGGTGGCGATTTGACGTTCACGTGTGGAGCGCCGTTGGTGCTCATGTGACTTGAGCAGTGTTAAATTATGCAGACGATGTCGCAGTACAAAGGCGATGCTGTGTGTCCAAAAGTAGCCGTTGCATACGTGAGTGGAAAAAGCCGCACCACAGGAAGACACTGAGTAAGACATGTGAATTTCAGCCTAGACAGCTGGAGATAGGATGCGGTGTGAGTTGGCGAAATCCAAGAGCACTTGATTAAATCCTAAATTTGCATGTCGGATGTGTACTTCTGCAGGTTGTTGGATTTAACTCGTTGAATTACGCAAGTATCAAAATACGAAGAGGCATGACGGCATTTGTTGGTTAGCTCATAGTGGAGCAGCCTGATATTTTGCAGGGCATAATTGGCTCTGCACATTCGTCGGGAGGGACTTGCAGCAATCTGCATTCGATCACCATTCCAGGAAGCGTCATGTTATTTCTTGGCCCAGTCTTCGAGAGAACTGTAGTCAGAAGCAGAGGTGAGTAGGAGATTGTACGTGAGTTGCACACTGCACGTCATCATGTTAAATGTGATTGCGAGGGCGTCACAATTCAAGGATGTCACACGGCCTCGAGTAATGCTGTGTTCATGCCAACTTGTCCTAACACTGCCTTCATTGTTGGTGTAGAAAGAGTTAGAGGTTAAGGTCGCACTGCCTATTATCATGAGTGGAAATTTGAAGAGTCAAATCTGACAGTAGATGAGACCATTGCCCCAACTATGGAGGTTGTACTAGTTAACGTGACTCGATACCTCCCAGTGGACTACATCGGAACACCGATGCACATTTGGACCGTGTAGGGATCGTGGCAAGTAATCGCCCCATTTGTCAATGTCGACTGTTGCAATTGGGTTGTCGTGAAGTGGCAATTGTGTGGTTGTTCGACTCCCTCACACAAGAAAACAAGGCACACAACCATGCGTGTTTGCGAACATCAGTCAGAGTCGATGGGTTGATTTTGTGTGGGATGTGCAAGCAGACAAATATGTGTGGCTATTGTCGTTGCACTTCACACCATCACGATATCGAACATGCTGGCTCTCCTGTTTTGTTTTCATAGTTGCCTCTGAATGCGTAGATACGTGACGAGGCAATGAATCGAAAAATCTGTTCGCAATTTCGACTCCATTGACAATGAGCGATGTAGTTGTGTTGCGTTGATGGGAAGTGGGAAGTGCAAGACACAGCATTTAGAGGATATCTTATTGCCTGGAAACGCAGGTGGGTGTTTATGACTTGAAAGCCAACGTAGGCGACGCCTTGGCCTTTCGTTCTCCGGAACGAAACCAGTTATTTAAAAATGTGGCTCCGGGTGACTGCAGAACATCAATCGACCTGTTCGGTCGTCTCTGCTATTTTCTACCTTCGCGTCCTCAAGACTGATTGACTTCATATTAGGCATCGGTGTTGTCTGCAGCCATACACCGGATTTCGTGTGTTTGGCGCGACACTGATGGACTCAATGACAGTATTGGCCATGTAAATGACTATGCAGAATGTGCAAATCGACTCTACTCATGAACCACTAGGGTCTTGCCTGCGACGTCTCACTGCCTTGTGACCCTTTCGATGTTGATTATCGCCTGACATTTCAACATTTCTCCTGCTGCGCAACGAGGAAACGTGACAAGAAATGCAGACCTGCCCGGGTTTTGGCGGAGGTGGTATTGTGTTCGAACAATGCCTTGATGGGTGTGTGTAATGCCCTACTTTGGAGCAGCAAACTTGACCGCTAAAATGTATTTCACGTGATCGGATTGGCTTCAATCTGTAGTCGGAAATAATTTAATGAGTAATTAGGGCTTAAGTCGCATTTACAAATGTGAGACACACTTCTGATGGCCATTTTTCAACTCTAACTTGGAATCTTTGTGTTATTCAATGGTTTAATCAATGCTGGCTATTTGCTTGTCGATACGCTTGCAGCCTCTCTAAGGCGACACGACGGTGTGCCATGCAACTTTATTTCAGTATTTTCATCAATAGAGTCAAAGCCGTACTTTCGATAACTTCACGAGCACACAAGCCACAGCAACTGGCTATAAATGTAAGGCAATTGTGCCAGAATGCACCAATCACTTGTGCTTGGAGTTTGGCGTGAGTTAAGCGCATTCGACTCGATTGCACAACCAATCGCCAACGCACAGGTGCACACATTTCTTCCCCTCACTCATACACAAACACGCGTGCATTAAGGTGAGGTAACATGTGAATTGCAAAACAAAAGATATTTGGTTCGAGTGCGTGCGAGGGTCGGACCAACTGTGTGTGCGTCGCGCATCCACAAGGCACATGCACACGCATACTGGGCCAAACCGTGACGAAAGACATGCACACGTGCAGTCAACAATGGCCTTGTGAAAGCACAAGTGGACGGCAGGCGTCTATTGAAGGTGACAAAGGTTTGCATTGAGAGCTTAGAGCAAGAACTATACGGGACCAATCAGCTTCCAGAAGGACTCTGGATGAATGCACGGTGCCTGATATTTTCAGAAACGCAAGTGAAATTGGCTACTTGTGAGTTGTGCACCCTCACTTCAAATCACAAATGAGACAAGCGCTGAGGTGAAAGACTCAACAATACCACGAGACACTAAATCGTCTGCCTCCTCTTCACTTTCCTCCTCCTCCTCCTTTTCCCCCACCCGACTGAGAGTTAAAATCTCAGGTGATATTTGTGACTAGTAATTTAGGGGCGTTTGTGTTTTGGCTAGATCAAAGTGGGATTGAAGCGTGGTTCAAGCCACTGCAACGTGAGTGGTCATGCATACACAGATGGTTATATACATGAGGACAGGAATGCACCGGCACGATTGGTCAGTGCCTGTCTCAGACTCCTTCCGCCAATTAGGAAGCCGCAACCGACAATACGGTGAACGCACCAAGGCGCACACACATGCGCACGCCAACGCTGCGTCAAGCAACTCCTTCCACTGATTGACTAACGTGATAAACGGGGAGGAGTAGGCGGTGGAGGAGAAGGAGAAGGCGGTGGAGGAGGAGAAGGAGGAGAAGAAGAAGAAGAAGGAGGAAGCAAGTGAGATTCCTAGTGGGTGTGTTGTGAAGGTGACGTTGTGCGGTGTTTCACAAGCTCACAAGATTGCCACTCTGAACGGAGGCCACGCGGCGGTTGACGGCGCGCACGCGGTTGGCAGCTTGCCCAGTTACCTGAAGTCGACGAGAAACAGCGGAGGCACGTGCCCAGTGCCGAAGAAACTCTACTTCCAAATCGACAACAACGTGCTTCATGGAGAAGAGAGGGGAGGAAGGAGACGACGACGAGGAGAAGGGGGAGGAGGCGGAGGAAGAGAGGATGGACGTCGTGAGCGTCACCATGTGAGGCAAAGTCGAAGCAGTGATGCAGGTGCTTGGCGCATTGAGGGTGAGAGGCGTGAATCGCGGTTCAAGTTGCTGTGTCTGCTGCATCACACACCCAGTCTCAACTCGCTCTTCGAGCTTGTCACCTCCGACCCCATTCTCACTGCCAGACACCTCTCCGACGATGGAACAGCCAGGTTGGCTAGTTGGACGGAGAACAGGCAGATGGCGACGTGCGCAGTGAAGGCGAACGGACACAAACCACGAGCACTGAAGGCACACTTCTCGGACAGCGAGTCGACGACGCAGACGACGAGAACATCAAGGTCGGAGAAGGTGACACACAAAGCGTCCAGCGCATCACGGAGGCAGGAGGCCACGCCAAAGCCATCAACTACAGCAACGCCGAGGTCACACCCACGCACCCACTTCGACCTCAGTGTGAAGCTGGCTAACACAAGGACCAACTTCATTGCACTTCGTCCCACTCAACAACAGCGTTCCTCAGCGACCAATTCCGCGTCGACTCTGCGTCCCACCATACAGTGCGCACCTGGTGAACACCACACTGGGTCGAGTGGTGACCTGGCGTGTGACGCCTCGAGTGCAGTGCCACCACGCAATCCGTTCGAGGACGTGGTGATCAACATTCCGGTGTTGGGATTCCACAAGTGCGGCAAGACAAGCCTGCTAAAGAGCCTGGTGCAGACTGGTCCAACGCGATCGCCTACCTCATCCACACGAACTCCCACCTACTACTACCCCATGGCTGTTTTCAACTACCAGACGTTCAATTTCCGACTCATCGACTGTCCCATGATGATGCAGGATTTTCCCCTCTCCACACTGGATGCGTGGGCGGACTTTCGTGGCTGGGGCCTCCACGTGGCCGACTTCTTCATTCTCGTCTTCGACATCACCTCCGACCTCTCCTTCCACTACATCAGGCTTCTTCGCGAGCAGATAATCGCCGCCAACATGGATGTCCCGATGGTGATCGTGGCGAACAAAATCGACTTGCTCCAGCCCCCTAACTCGTCCCCTGCTGCTGCTGCTGCAACTGCAGCTGTCGGTGGTGGTGGCGGTGGCGGTGGCGGCGGCGGTGGAGGCATAGTCAACTCTGCTACCTCGTCGATTCACCACGCTCGGCATGTGATGTTTGAGAGCGGCTGGAACCACAAGTCGTCGACACGACAGAACGCTCGCGTGTTGCCCAGGAGTAACGTTGGCAGCAGCAGCAGCAGCTGCATCATCATCGCAGGTGAAAGCACGCCCAGCCAGCACATCCCACACCTCAGCATGAAGCCGAGCCTGTCGCTGGGAGGTTGTCCGAAGGCGGTGTTTCGGCGCGATCTGGCGCTGCTGGTGAAGAAGCACTGGAAACACTGCGTCCTCGTTGAGTGCTCAGCCCTCTACAACTTCAACACCCTGACGATTTTGAAGGAGGTTCTGCAGTTTGTGCAGTATCGAAACCACGGTCAGAGGCCGAAGGCAGCACAGGCTGTGCAGGCAGTGTGGCAGAGAAATCAGTGCTGCCTCCTCTGATGCCCCACGTGACCTCACGTATGTGCCTGTGTGCCTGCGCGTCTGCCTGCATTGCCCCGCTGGACAGAACTGGTTTGCAACTCAATCAGTGAGTAATGTATCGTGGTTGTGTGCCATTTGTCACCTCAGACAGTCGTCGTTGGTTGTGTAAATAAGAAGATGTTTGTTTTTTTTTCAACTGTGCAGTTTGTGGTGATGTTAGGCATGGCCCTGGGTAGACGCAGCTGAGCCTTAAAGACGCGTAGTGTCTGGACAGCATAGGAGCATTAACTTAGTGTTGATGGCTGGACGAAAATGAGCAGTAACAACAAAGCCAAAATAGACGAGACAGTGTTTGTGTATGTGTGTGTGTGTGTGTGTGTGGTGAATAGGTGAGGATGAGTCGACCTGGGTGGACGGAGTAATTTTTGTGGAGACATTAGTTGGTAGTGTGAGAATGTGACGCTTAATTTTCTGCGACAGTATTCTGCCCTTTAACGCATGATGAAATTTAATGCGTATGCAAGCATTCTGCATTGCAGCCTGCATTCTTCGTGTTGGTTTATATGCGTGTAGTTGGTCGTTTGACAGATGCATGGTTTGCGTTGAACTCAAGAGTAGTGCAGGTGATTATTGATGTAAATCAGCAGTTTCGGTGGATTACAAACTAAGAGGCAAATACGCAGCCTCAGGAGATGTTGAAGTGTAATTAAAGAGCTCACGAACTTGTGCATGTCATCAGGCGTTTGGTTGGTGCTGCCAGACACAATTTACTGGCTACTTGAAAAGTTATTGCCCATAAGCGAATGTTACTGCAGTGAAAAATGAGGTGTCGCGTCGGGGTGTGTGGGGGGGAAGAAATTTATCAGCCAAGTTTTCGGATGCACATCGTCTCGACATGCGTGCTAACTTGGTTAGTCGCAGATTGTTGCACTGGCACACGACTAGTTACTTGACACATGTGACCATCAGAATATTTTAGTTTTGCACATCCGATCACCCGCCTCCATTTGGTTCACATTTGATGTCAGTCTAGTGCTCCGGTCACTGTGATTTGAGCGACCTGAGGCTGCTTTAATCTGAGACGCAACTTGCCAACACGAACACTGGAGTGTAGTTGTACAATCGCAGAGTTACCAACCCAGTTTCAAGACTTGGCGTGACTTTAATTTTTGCTGGCGCTCAATCGTTTGCAGGCGCCTGCCTGAAAAACGCATTTCCAGACACGAGGTGACGGGTTCAGTGATTTCGCCCCAGTTTTCCGAGCATTGTGTGGATGTGGTGTTGTGGCTTGTGTCTAAGCACTACCTTACAGCCCTCTAGTTATCAGCCCGTAACAACCCTCAAATGGAGAAAAGAGAGGCGATGGTGGACACGACCGTTTATTAGCGTTACGCCAGCCAAGTGTCTTAGTGTGTAGATGAGTGAGCGGATGACAGGCATCTAATACAGTAACCAATGAAAAGGAGATGGGTCACCGTTACCGTCAGGTCAGTAACCAGGGTTCACTCAGGCGCGATCGCTATTAATCCGCTACAGTGGTTCCTACTGTCACTAGCTAGTGACCAGCACCTAAATGCGCAATACTCGCTGAATTCTGTTCAGTGGCTATTGGCGTTTCAAATTACATACCTATAAAGCTAAGTGAATGCAGATGAGTCAGGATGATTAGCAAATTTGCTTAAAAACCTAGGAAGAATGCTTTTTAATTTGGAAGATGATAAGTAACTGAGGTAAAGTGAGACGGCACAAAGAATAATCGTGCAGGTCAATGCAAGCGATCCTACGACGAATCGAGATGTACATGTGAAAGTGCTGGTGGTGATCTGGCTGAAATCTGAGAAGTGTGAAGTGATTGATAGGCAAATAATTGAAGGAGGTGTAATGTAGGATTTAGTGAGTAAAGCCTATTCGTCTTTAGCCCCTACTGACTTGGCCAGTTTGTTTAAGTACATCTTTCTTTCCAAAATCAAAAAAACGCTATTGTCAACAAATTGGCTATTAACTCAGTCGTGTCTCATGGGATGCAACTGGCGGGTACGTTGCCATGAATTTAATGTGCCCAAGGCTAAAATTGTTGCATTGGTGTGTTTCCTGCGCGATTAGACGCATCTGATAAAGCAGACGCAACAAGCAAATCTCAGCCCAATAGTAATGGACGGGTTGCTGTCGGTCGACTCTCCAATCACTGCCACGTGATTGTTCTCACTCCGAATTCCGTCACGCTAATGCCACATCGATGAATTAGATCTGGAGTATTCAATCACTGAAATGCCGTGATGTTCTGCTGTGCACAGACACGGTTTCGTGGTGAAATGTAATGCAGCGATGACGTGTTCATGAGAAGCACATTCGTATTGACAGCCTAGAGGCAACATCCAACCACAGCTGGGTGATAATTGTGTGTTTCATCACTTTTTTTGATGTCAACGCCACCAAGTCCCTAGTGTCTAAAAACGTGCAAAGTTTGAGGTCAACTGAACCTCTTATTGATTCGGCCATTGTGCTTTCAAGTTTTCGCATGTTGACTTGAGATTCGGCTCCACCTGTGAATAGGAACAATGGCAACAACGTGCTAAGACGGTTGAGAATGAATTCCACAGCATTAGCAGCTCCGTCGTGGCTGAATTCACTTGCGAATGCTATTGACGTTCTACTTGCACGTCGATGCCGATCAGCCTCTGGTATATCCGTGACTTGACAATTCACTGGATGACGTATCACATCATAGACTGTCCCTTTGCATAAAGCGTGGATCTACCTGGAACCCTGAAGGCGACAGTAACTGACCTGTTGCCTCATTTGTCGTGTCGACCGTCTCTTTCCCTGTGTCATGGTGACTGCAGACATTCGAATTCACAGTGGTTATTTTTACGTCGTGTATATGAGTATTAGTGAGATGGTGGTGTGGAATGCGATCCTCACCTGGTCAAGTTGATGGATTGGTTGCCAAGTTGTGGCCTTGCACCAACTCGCAGACTGAGTGAGAATTAGTGCGTGGGTGGAGTGAGTCATTCATTGTGTTAACTGTCACCACAGTTGGCTGGAATAATTAATCACTTGGTAATCCAAATGGGTACGGCTGGAATTGACAGAGAAGAAGGATATTGTGCAATCAATCATGTTCCTCAATCATGCTTCCTAAAAGCACACTTCTGTGCGACAGTCAGGACATCTTCTAACTATGGTCGTGGGATTTTCAGATATCAGATGACTCGTGATATGACTGGGTAGTTGTTTGTCGCTTCAAATAACCCCTATTTTCTACTAGAACCTGGACGCTAGTAGTGCGTCTGGTTAAAGGCGGGAACGGTACTAGTTCATGCGGGTGCAACGTGAAGCCGGTGTGGCAGGAATGCCAGATGCCAATGAAGATGCCAGACACCACGCAGGCAGTGGTGGAGGTGATTATTTGCGAAACCATGAGACGTTGACTTTTGACGAATCTAGTGATAATTTTGAGGGTGCCAATATGTTTGTCAGAGATTTGATTGGTTGGCTGCTTAAAGTGGGGTTTCAGTAGCTCGCCTGAATGTCGTTGTGTGAGAATCACAATGCAGGAGGTTTCACGCATTTGCCTAGTAAATAGAGATGGTGTGGCGCTGTGTTCGCGACGTGTGAGTGATGGTGTGACACGTGGTTTGGGTGATTGGAAAGGGGAGACAGTTTAAGAGTAGTGATCATGCAGTAAAGCTCCAAACTAATTTCAATTGAGAGCCAAAATGCTCTCATCACACTCTCTAAAATCGAATACCATACGAAAGCAAACGAAAGACACGAGTATCACTCGGATTGTAAGATGACTTTACAAAACGGCATTCAAATGACCACACTACAACTGAAGTGCAAGTTGAGGTGTTGAGGAGTGCACTTGGAAACATTGCCTGGCATTAAAGTTGGTGTGGAGCATGTGGAATGAGTTCTGGTAGTCTTGTGCCCAGCTGATCGAAAATGCTACACTCGGCATTGCTTAACAGCATCGATGCCTGTAGACAAGGTCGGCGTTCATGTTGTTGGAGGTTGGGCTGTGCTCGTAGGGGAATTCTCCTTGTCGCGTCGAGTAATTCCGTAGACTTCTCATCTGCCTCGCCTATCGATCTCACCTGCCAACTTTCCGCTAGTCCCATCACTCCCCTCTCATTCTCTCTCTATCTCTTACTCTGCTAAATGGAGAGAAACGAACGATGCAAGGTGAGTGTTGTAGCGCTAATTATCTGAATGCAACACACCGCTAATTAAGGCTGCGAGTAGACACGTCGTGCATCCGGTGGATGCCGACAGGAAACATGTTCGCGCGTCGGTGCATTTCGTGTGTTGAACATCCTGGTTGGCTGCTACTCGGCTCTGCCTCACAGACATTGCTGATGGTGGCAAGACATGGCCTCCTCTTACGTAGCATTAATGACGGGAGACCTCAGACGCGTGGCTTTGTATGAAGCTGTCGAGTGGTGAGGTGCTTATATGCGTGAATCTGGAGTGCTTGCGACTTACCTAACACTTGTCAGGCAGCCTCAGATGGAGGCGATAACTTGGCGATTAGGCGAGTGCAGCACCAATCAGAAATCCTGTAGCGTATTGTTTGTAGTGTATTTATGAGTTACCGGAGATGGAGCCTTCTGATGCCTTCTCAAATGTCGAAACAGCACACCAACCAATCTTCAGTGAAGTCACTTTCATAATGCTCACTGGTCAGGCGTTGAGGATGTGGCCTGTTCTTTTGAGGTTAGTATGTCTTGTGTCACGTGTTCAACTGTCACGGTTATTTCCCTGCAATAAGATGTCAAGCGTGCTTTATCAAGATATGTTTAAGAAGGCATTATTTTTCGTCACTTTTCTTTGCACACCATATTGCCCTGGAGTGTGACTACCTTCTGCGTAAATGTCCCGTGTGGCTTGATTTCATCGTCGTAATCATGAACGAAAGCAAACACTGCGCCGATGTGATGATCCTTCCTGTCAGTCTGCAATGCTCATTTCGCGCTTGACAGGCTGACCACGTGCAAAGCGGAGGGTGCGAAGGGAGACACGCAAGTTAGCTGATGCGAGAAAGAGGAGACCAGTGTGATGCTGTTGGCATGTCGCTGGTTGGGGTGTGACGCGGCGTCTAAACACGCAATTGCAAATGTTGGGGAGGACACCAGTGCTCACGCCTGTGTGGTTCGAAGTTATTGCAGCTAAATGATTCAGGCTGTCGACGACGTCAGCAATAGGATCATTTAGTTGCTTGATGTGACAAAGAATGTCAGTGAGTCAATTTGTCATAGGTCTTTTCATAGGCAGGTGAATATCCCACAATCGTTGAACTAGAAGGGCATTCGCAAAGGTGCTTCTAATTTCCCCGTAAAATGAATAACAATTCCAGCATCAGCCTTAGTCTCGTGAAGTGTGTTCAGTTAACTTTTAGACAAACCGATTGCCTTGTTCCCCTTATTACGAAAGTGTAAAGTTAGCTTTTTCAAACAATCTTATTAGGTGGTGCTTATGATTTGTTAAAATTTATCAACTTTCTGAGCTTACCATCAGCAAAGTCAACGCCTCTTCAATGAGCGATCAGGTCTGTTGTGATCGGCGTTGATACGACCACGTTGCTTGTTCGTGTGCCTACATGCTCTCGCACTCTCGCCAGAAATATTGATTTCATATTTACCCTTTGTTTTTCACCAAACTGGTTTGTTGGAACACTCGCCAGACTATCCACTGGCAGACGAACTGCGTATAACCTCTAAAATTTCAGCCTAACATTGTTATTGTTTATCGATTTCTGCGAGTTGATCAATTGGTGCTTAAACTGTTTTAGAATGCAGGTGGTGAATGCGGTCAGTGGTCAATTGCACATCACCTCGCAGACCGCTTCCTCCTGTGTTGTCACATCAATCTGGTGTATCGAGAATGCCTTCGATAAATCTTAGAGACAAATCAGCTGCCGCTACTGGTTAGCCCAGGTGGCCCTACATCAATCGGTAACCGGCCTCTTCGACTAATAGCCTATGCAATAACTGGTTGACTGCGGTGATATCAAATGCTTGCACTATATCTCCCATTGCCTCTAATCGCAACTATTGTTACAAAATTCCCTGAGGCACTCGGTCCTGCTTATTAACGTGATGGTGTCATTTCGAGCACAACAACCTGCTCGGAAGTCCGATTAATTTTCCATTGGGAGTTAAAGCCAACTCTGGTGAATATTTCCGAATTAACTTGGAAGAGCAAATGGCACTGACGAATTGCAGTTGAATTTGTTGGCAGAACATTCCGAATTGATGGACAAATTTGTTGAATAGCATTGAAGAGCTTCAGTTTATGCAAGTTGCATTCGGCAAACGGAATTCGGTGCTTCAATTAAACAGCAGCAAATTATTGGGAGCAATGTGTTCCTTAACTGCAACGTTGGTAAATGTTGCAGCAATTTCGGTTTGGAACTAATCGACTGAGGAAGCCATCCTCATGCATCAGTGGAGGCACTGAAACTGGCCCAGAAATCTCCAAGTGCCCTTCTGATTGCACTGATGCAAATCGGGACAGGTGGATGAAATGCGTACATCTTGAATGAGAATGAATCAGACTTGCTGTATCACTGTGGCGGACGCTGAGGGGTATCTGGTTCTTCCACATGAACTACTTCAGCTTTGACATTCATAATCGATGCAGTGGCAGGTACGTGGCATCGGCCGTGTGACCGGTGACGTCGACAGTGGGTCTTCCACTTAGATCTCCTACTTCCGTGGATATAGTGCAAAACAAATGAGTGTGTACAACGGTATCTGCAATGTCGACAACTTTGCTTGGGTCCTGTTTCCTCATTCACCTCGGCATAGTTCTGACTGCTAGCAGCTGAGTTTGCAACTCACGAATTGCATCGTCCATGCATTGCAACCACCTGCTGGCGTTGAGTTCCGTCACATCCAATCAACCGCAGCAGAGGTTGCGTGGGCACTCGTGCAATTGGCGTGGAGATGATGAAGACAATATTGACAGATGGAGACAGGAGAGTTGGACAGGTGCAGCGCGATGCAGGGCACTCAACCGGAATGCACCGGTGAGCCAGCAAGCAGTGATCCATGTCTAAATGAAACTAACCCTGACCACATTAACAACATCTTTGAGCTTGTCAGTGGTGCTGTTGTGCAATCCAAGTTAATCTGCGCAGTGGTTGACGATTCATTTGGGTATATAATTCAAGTCCCACATTGTACTACAACAGCACTAACCTGGGCACATGCTTTGGCGCGTTAATTTGCCTGGCTGTTTATCTAGCCAGAGAGGTGTTGGTGAATGTGGTGAAGAGTTGCACTTTGGAGGTCATTTGATGCCTCTATTCACTGTTTTCAAGTGGTTTTCACTAACACTGGTGGAATAAACTTGACATCCGCAGGTAAAAACGACATCTGCTATGTACACACCTGGAAATGTTTCTGCGATGCACTACTTTCGACAGCAGATAATTCATTATGACACTAAATTGAAACGCAATGTGCCAGAGTCGAAGTTGGTGCTTCCTTCTCGACATTCGGGAAAGGGATAACCAATCGACCAGCGCTTGTTCCGCTTCTGTGTAGAATGCCACCACGAGATTTGGAGACAAGGCTGAGGTCGCAGTGCTTTCAAAGTCATCGACGTTACTAATTTGAGGCAAAAACTGGAGCCAGTTTAGAATGGAATGAACGTCCGTCATATTATCGTGTGGCAAAAACATCGCCATGCGATGTCGCTATGTTCTCAGATCAGAAATGAAGCGACCACAAAAGGCACGAAACAAGCCAATTGAAAAAGTGGTAACAGCATTGGCTTCAGTGGTTTCAATTCACAAAGCGTTTTAATAAACGAAGTTAACAGCGCTGTATCTGCTCGCTGGTTCGATCCTTGCTGTTGGGAAACACGCCAGTTGGCGAATTCGTGGGTCTTAAATTGAGCAGACCACAAAAGCTGCACCTCAAGTTCATCCACTCAGCTGCGTTTGTGGGGGCACATGTTTGTGTGGTGTTTGTCAACAAACACGAAAAAGTCACACTGGAACCTCGAAATATCAAGTGCAAGGAGTGGAGGTTACCGTGAGCATTCATTATGACCCAAGTGGGAACCGCAGTGTAGTCAGGTGAAAAAGAATAGTTGTCGGTCATGTCATGTCTTGAGTAAAGGTGGCATTGTCTGACGCATCTCTGTATGGGCACGATATCATCGAATGATTTATTCTATCATGAGGTTATTCAGTAGCACAACACTACTTTCTCCTAGTTGTTCCTCACATTAGCGTGGGTTCCACTTTACATTCGTGGAATGCGCCGCGGTGAACTCTGACAACTCAGAATCCTGCTTTTGCACTTGAAACGGTGAGTGGAATGTTGAGCCACTTGAGAGACAACTTCAGTCGATGTGCAGATAGGGATAAAGCGTGGCTTGCAACCAGCATGTTTTCACAGGCACTAATGCGATGCGTTGCTGTGGCAACGCTGCAAGCAACACTGCAATTTAGTGCCGTTGGTAGTTGGGAAAAACACGTGGAGTATTTTAATAGTATTCCTTTCAGGAGAATTGTAACATTGTCAACCTTAGACATTGGTATTCAAGTCATGTTAGCCACTTTAATGAGGACTCGTAGCAGCCTTGTTGTATACTGTGCCGCTGTGTTGTTGTGTAGAGTGCCTCAAACAATGTAAAGTGCTGAAGGTGTGTGATGTGAGTTGGCTTCAGAGGGTGGTGCTGGTTTGATCTGCCACGAATATGCCTTGTCGTGACATGTGTTAATTAATCTTACCAGCGCAGGAGGTACCGCTCTGGTTAATTCGCGTTCCAATTCGTTTCCATTTGCTGTAAATTAACAATATAGGAAGGACGCCTCTGTCGATGCCAACATGTGCCACATGTTGTCGGACAGGCTGTTTGACTGTTTGTGAATAACACGAGCCTGAATTGGTAGATTGGGGTGTTGATTTGGATGTCAGGACCTATTGATGTCGACTCCATGGAAATGGGATCACACGCCAGACAGTGAAAAGACGGCAGTCTCAATGCCCTTCACCCCCTTGCTCCGATTTGTGAACCGATGGTGATGCTGGTGGTTGTGGCTCACGAGTTATTAAGACATGAATGCATTTAGCCAAGACGATTCGCAGGTGGTTTCCACAAATGTGTAATCTGGTGCGAACAGTATCTCATTGAAACCACGTCCCACAACTATTCTAAGGCATTCGGTTATTGGGAAACAAATCGGACAATTTGAAAAACAAGTTTTGTCTAACCAAACACATGACCAGATGTGACGGACGGCATCTTCCCGTTATTCCGCGTTCTACTCAGTGGTTTGATTAGCAAATCTGCTTGCCTGATGAAGTTGACTTTCGGCCAGGAGTAGACAGCCACTTGTTGGAGAAGAAAATCGCTGTGAGCATAGTCAGGATGAAGGCATGTTTTACGCTTAGGACATGGTTGGGGCAGTTTAGCACGGTGATTGGTGCGAGTTCACTCAACAGACGTCGCAAAAATAAACTCACACTCAGACAGGAGTTGACAGGCGAAAGGCATAATTTGTAAAGTTTAAAGGCTGCAACGGGCAACGCAGTTTGTGGAGAGTTCCATTTTACTCAAGGATGGCTTTTTCAATCTGGACAGGATCGTGTTTAGAGATTGTAAATGCTGAAGTTGGTAAAAGTCATCGTTGACGAAAATATCCTCGGTAAAGCAGCACAGGCACACAATTAATAAATGCATTGTAAATCTCTTTTCAAATGACGAGTGAATGGATATTCCTCATTTTTGAATAGACAGAAGGAAGCTACAACAAACCATGATCTTGGCTATTTTATCGAAGGCGGTTACAAGATAGTAAAATTTCCCTCATCGAAGTAAACCGCATGACGTCTTTTGAACGCAAATGCATTCATGGTAATCCATTCACGCGTTCAGAACAGGCTAGCTTACCTTAGCGCAATGTGAGGATGTTTTTTTGGAATATTTGGGGTGTTAGCGGTGACTAAGGCACGTGGTTGTTGCCAGACAGTCACCAGCCCTGTGCCAATGCAACTACCTGGTTTGTCGAAAGTCACTTTGCATAAAACGATTGGCTCTTGACATAACATCTAAGACTGCATGTCAACTGCGCTGTAAAATGGAGAAATTGGGCATTTACTGTTCATTAATTTCACACCATGCTGCACTGCCGCTTAGCAAATCGATCCTTCAATTGCTACAGATTGTCGACGTGGAGTCTGACGCGGTCAACCACATTGTTACACTTCAAAAAGGCCTAAAATAAACGGAAATCAGGTAGTTGAGCTAACCGACATCGAGGTTCCAGTTGGAACAGTATTTGCTGGACGTGTGGAGACTTCAATGTTGTTAGGCGTCACAAGATCTTGTAAGTCGCCTCACGGTGACTAATGCAGAGGGCGAGTTGAAGATGAAGAACAGTTATGGGTTGGCAATAAGAATTTGTCCTCCCGTCACTGCAATGATGATTCCGCAGCTCAATGTGGACGAGGTGGGAAAATTGGAAAAGGCAAAGAATATCGGATAGTATGCAGTCATGTCATTAACTCTCTAGATGACTGGTGGTTTGGAAACACGCGGTGACAGTTAGGTTGGGCAGCATTCGAGCACAATGGCCTATTTTACCTACAAATCGAAATCTCATCTCAGTCGCATTAGGGACTTGCCTTCCTTGTGCTTTGGATATCGTTGCCCATGTCTTGTGCAGTGAATTAAAGCAGCGTTTGTCGGGTAAAGGCAATCTGGCACGTCTCCGTGTTTCGATGCATGCTTGGTCACTCGTGCAATTTGGGAGAAGTAAAGTGATTCGGACTGAGGGATTGCATCAGTAACGTTGAACGCACTAGCAGAATACAAGATGGTTGTAGAGTGCGTGTTTTGTTTTAACTGCCAAGAAATGCCATGCAATGAAATGCAATGAAGTGATTTTCTGGCTCAAGTGGAGTCATGATGCACGAGTGGGCACATTTCCCTCGCAATGCGGATACGTCGTACTTTGCGGTTGGCAGATAAGGACGCACATTCACCAAGTAACTGCATTGCAGAAAGTTGAGAAGCAGGTTAAGTGTTACAAAGCACTGACATCGTCGATGTTGTTTGACAGCCTATTTATATCTGGTTGGGCAGACTTGCAGGAGAGTTGATAGGAACTTGGAGGAGAGTGCTGAGAAAAGGCCAGTCAAAAACAGGTTTTACAAGTGGAGTGTTTTGGTAGAGAAAGTGTGTTTCCTCCTAGTGTCTTTGTAGCCACCTGCAGAGGACGCAGATGCAACGTAAATAGGCTTTTTTTAAGGAAGAACATCTCGTTCCTCCTCTCCAAGTTGGAGCTGACAACGTTTTCTTTGCCAAACCAAGACTAATTGTGAAGGCCCGCCAACCCTCAGTTTAATTATAGGAATTCCATTGTTGGCATTGCATTGTTTAACGCACAAGCCTTTGATAAACCTAGCAATGATTCTGACTGTGTGGATTATCAAGTCGGATAGAACCACAGACACTCTGCCAGTTATCGCGCAGTCATGTTCTGCAACAGAAGGCCAAACAGTGCTGGTCGAATGTCTGGCTTGGACAAGGACGGTTTCATCCAACTACAGCAGCATAGCGGCAAAATTTGTACTCTCAACAACCGAGTCACTTGTACGTTTGAAATCCATGTCGCAATTACGAGGTCTTTGCCGTGGATACTAGCTTCGACGTCCATTTGGCTCGGATTCTGTCTGGCCCACGTGCCAGCCAGAGCAACTTGTGTTACCGCTCGCCCACTTACCCATTGTGAAGTCGGTGTGTTTAACACCCACACACACCCCGAGATAAGCGTCCTTAGCCAAATTGTGGAGACAGACGTGAGTGGTGATCAGCTCCGTTTTCCGTGCGACGGGTAAATGAGCTGTTGGCAGAACTTGTGCGCTTTGCCACCACCACCCAAGTGAGTAGTTAAACACACAGGCTGGTTATCTGGCGGACATCGACAGACGGGGTGTGTGATGTGTTTATTTTGTTATTTTAAATTCTTGTCTATCAAATTTGGCATGCAGTCGTGGATTTTATTTGTGTGCATTAGGTTACGTGACTTGCTAAACTTTGCAGTGACTGGCGTCAAGCCAAAGCGACATAAAATGATCTGCTTGATAAGTGGTTGCGGCGTCGCGGCACACGAATATTTCAAATCAAGCAAACGGTCACTTCGCCGAATGTGCGGTTACTCCCACGAGAAGCGGCTTTTTACACCTGCGCCCTGCACGAGACGCTCATGTGTCTGGAATGTAAGCCAGACGTCATGTCTTCGGTGTACTCACCACATCCTCGTCAAGGCCACCGCTTCTACTGCCTCGCCACCCTCTTCTTGCATATCTTACATATCAGCGGTCTCCCACCACACCCTTGTCCCACCACGTGCATGCAAATGTCCTGCTCCCACCCCTCCTCCTCCTCCCCCTCCTTCGCATCTATACTTTACAGCCCTTTAGCCGCCCCCGCCCCCACCCCCACCCCCACCGCCCAACCAAAACATCCTGCCCATCGACCTGGCTTGGCAAAAAGCCTTTCTCGTAATCTGCCGCATCATTTTTTGGACTGGACAGTGCCTGGAGGAAAGTGGCACGGCTTAGGTGTAACCGCGTCTGCGATATGATGAGAAGCAATGCTTCTCCGAGAAAACAACACCCAAATTAAAAGACGACTTTGTCTGCAATGAAAACGAGATTAGCTTTCACGAAACTAGTTTTCTCTGGAATTGAATTTGAGCAAAACAACAACTGCAGTTGCAAAAACACTTTACTCGTCCTTTCAAAACAAGATTTAAGTGAAAGCAACACGGAATGTGGATGCACTAGAGTGAAAATCACGCAAAAGCGACCATTTGTTTTTTTTTCTATATGTATTTTCAAATTTGAAGCAACTGGCTGTCGTTGTCTAGGAATTTGAGGTGACTTTTGGGCTAATGCACAAATCTCGAAGAGCCTCAACTTAGCATGAGTCATTGGAAGGCCGTGTGTGAACGAAGCACCAGTTTCTTGGAAGATCGAGAGACCTGGGATGTGCTTAAATACCGGGCGATGTGAAGGTTCGCGTCCAAATTGAAAAGTCATCGTTTTCTTAAAGGGAATTTTCGAGAGAAGAGGTCTATGAAGGAGTGAGTGCTTGATGGTAAATTGTAATAAGGTTTTTCGCAAAATATCCTAACGAGGAAGCCAGTTAAGACGACGTCAGTTGCATAAAGTTAACTGCGCACTTGCCAATGAGGAAAAACCCTGACCTGTTGTTGACTGACTAATTGGTCTCACGGGAGTAAAGAGCGATTGCCTATCAACCACCACTACTCGACAGGGCTAGTTCCCTCGAAATTGCCAGGACCCCACTAGGAATAATTTCCACACTGCCTGCGCAGAGTTGTGGTCACGTGAGAGGAATGTGGGTCAGTTAATAGAGAAATGTTAATGCAGTCCAGGTGATTAGTCAACAACGCAAACA